GTTAAAGTTTCCCAAAATTCAATTTATATATATGTGTACATATACATTTATATTTATATAAAAAGACTAATAATAGCAGTATGTTATACATCGATAGCAGCAACAGCTTTTCCAGGTTCTGCAGTCATTTGAACAAAATTATAGACATTCAGCACATTCCATTAACAAAAAACAAAACAAAACAAAAAGAAACAAAGAAAAGAATCATATCCAGAAAACAGCAAAGTTCTGTTACTGTTGTGGTACCTGGCACCATTTTTTTTATTAGCATCTTAATCATCATCTGGAAAGAGAATATTCTAGAGTAATATCATTAACCCATATTTTTTAATGTAGAAAATTGCTTCTCATCATTTTTACTCAATTTAGATGTTACCCTCATCTGCGGTTCCTTTACTGCCATACCCTGATAAATTTGTATTCTAATTTTCCATGGGTCTGATATGCCCAGTGGATCCAGTACATCCCTCAAGTATACCGTTTATTCTGGATTGTAATTTCACCTTAACGTGCTTCTGCCTTCCAGTGAACAAGTACCTTCCTGAGAGCAGAAAACTTCTATTTTTTATATTTATTTTCTAACCACAGGGGGTAGCACGTGTGGACATTTAGTAAATATTAATTAAGAATAAGGAATTACCTAGAACCAGTAAATAGACAAAAATATAGCCCGAATATGAATTGGTGTTAAGAGGAATAGCTGAATAATATGAGTTGATTTAATCTGGCGGGTATTCATTTATATAATAAACATTAATGAGTGCCTACTGTATGTCAGATCTTGTAAATAAGTTCTCAATAAAAATGGTAGACAAAAAACCAGATATAGTGCATGCCCTTATAACTTTATGTTTAAATAACAAATAGGAGTTGGCCGGGTAAATAGGAAAAGGAAGAACATTCCAGAGAACAGCATGATCCAACATCCAGGAATAGGAGCGTGACAGTATCAATTAGAGTGAGTGACATCAGTAAAGTTGAGGATCCATCAACAGATAAAAAGTACCCAGATATTGAGGATATACTCCTAAGTGAAATAAATAAGTCACACATGTGTAAATACCCAATAGTTTTCCAAAGGTGGGAATAAACTATAACAGTATAAAAGATCCTAATGAGAAAAGTGACACTGTGAAATAGGAAGAAAGGGGCTTAAGGTGTAGGGAAAGTGGGAAGGGTAGGGGAGAGGTAATAAGGGGAAAGACAGAATAGAAGAAAATGAGAAAATGGAAATAAAATGTTTGTAAATGGGGAGGGGAGGAGGGGGTGAAGGGAGGGCAGGGACAAGGGGAAAAATGAGAACCAAGACCTGTCATGTAAAGGTACGAGATCCCAACGATGAATGTAACTGTACATTATATCTAAAATGCACCAATAAACTCAATGAGGAAAAAAAAAGTACCCAGAAAGAAGTAAGGGATGGATAAAGCATATTTAAGTGTCAGAAAAAGAAGCCACTTGGCTTAGTAAGAGTAACTAATAGATACTAAACTTGCATCATATGCCAAACACTGGGCTAAGTATTTTATAATAAGTATTTAAGGCAGATAACATTATCCTTACTTTAAAGATAAGCCAACTGGGGTACAGATAGGTTAAGCAATCTTATCAGGATAGCACAGAAGTTAAATTTCAGACCTGAGATTCAAACTTAGGCATTCAGCCCTAGCCCCTAGCACAGTAGCTGTAATACAAGCACAAGGGAAAACTGTAGTAGACAGTGCTTTGAACTAGGAAACAATATGTTGGACTCTAACACTGGCGCTCTACACATAAGACTTTGGCCTAGATATTGGTTAATATTAACACGGTAGTTTTGCCTCTGGTGAATGATACCATAAGTAGTTACCCCAAGTGCTACTTTTATAGAGCACTAATAGAACTTTGGGCAAAGAACTTCACTTCTCTGACCCTAAATTTCTTATCCCACAAATTGGCACATAGCATAAGTGCTGTTTATCTTGGAGGACCGTGACGATTAAATGAAGTGATGTGTGTAAAGCACCTAGCCATGTCTGGCACACAGTGTCAATGAATATTAGCTGTTTTGGTGTTATTGTATTTTAGTGATCAAAGGAGAGAAGGTGAGAACAATTGTAATTTGAGGAAGGTGATGTGAAGTGTCAGACAAATACTGAATGGGGGGTGGGACAAAATTTATTTTCTCTTTGCATCAACTGTCCCCTTTTAACCTCCAATTTTGTTTAGCACTTACTGTTAATAACTGTGTTGTAGTTGCTTACTTACTGTGTGTCTGTTTTAGCAGCTTATATAGTGTCTTGAACAAATACTATATGAACTTAAAATATTTGTAAAATGAATTAATTACTGAATAAAAAGTTAGGTGCACATGTACTAGAAAATGAAACAGAAAGAAATAATATTATCTGGATCCTTTTATGTTCCAGCTACACTAGTGTTCTCCTGTTCCTCAGACACACCAAGCTTGTTCCTGTTCTGCTTGCAAAATATAATCTGCTTATCCATTTGTCTCTACCCGCACTGCTAACAATTCAGTCAGGATTTGACAGGTTTTTTTGTTTGTTTTGTTTTTTGCTATAAGGGTCAGGTAGAAAGTATTCTAAGCTTTTTGAGATACATACAGTCTTCATAGCTACTCAATTCTACTCTCATAGAGCAAAAGCAGACACAACAACAGACAATACATAAATTATTACACGTGGAGGTTTTTCAGTATAAGTTAATTTGCAAAAACAGACAGCAGGCAGGATTTGGCTTATGGGCTATAAGTAATAACTCTCACTGTAGACCATGTTATCACTATCTCTTGCATGGACTGCTTTATTGAATGGTATGTGGACATTGTCATCTTTGGCTAAAACCTACATCTTGGTTTTATTGAAGTTTTAATGCTTCAAATACTACTCATAACTTATTGAAAATGGTTAAAGCTATTAAATTTAATTTTGAATTTTTATTCATAAAAATAGTTCTTAAAAACTTTAAAAAACTTAAAAGAAAAACTTTAGATAAGTTAAACTTAAGAGAGTTTAAGCAAAGAGCATTTCATGAATCAGGCAACCCTCAAAAACATGAGAGGTTCAGAGAGTTTCACTCAGCAATGTGGGTAGAAAGTATTTATAGACAGAGCATGGAAGTAATGTACAAAAAATAACCTGATTGGGTTACAGCTTGGTGTACATGTTATATAGATGTGTCTCAGTAGTTTTCTTTTTCATTGTCTATTGTTTACTCTTTTTTGAATATTGTACCAATTTTTCCTCTTTTATTTTATTGGTACATTTTGTATATACATAATGACAACATCCAACATAGGGAATTTGTAACTTTACGTGATATATCGTCTTCTTTTGTTTCTGTTCCCCTCCCCCCTCAACCCTTCTTCTCCTTGTCATTTACAAAGTCATTATTTCAAGTTTTTCCTTCTATTCT